GAATCTTCTCCCGCTGTGTTACCTCCCTATCTGTCTGTTATGATAGGTGCCCTATATCTGCTCATGATTATTTTAGGCTTCGAGAAAACTCCTTCTTATACCCTTGTGCACGATGTTTATTTAATCTGGTTGGAGGTAGAGGTCCAAATTTGGTGACCTCCTCTATCTAGTTTCTTCTTTTTCTTCTTCTTTATTTTAAGATAGAAAAGCACCTCTGGTTTAATATTCATGACTGCAACAAAGACATGAATCAACATTTATCAAGAGCCCATTATGGGCCACTCATTACACTATGTGTTTTTATAACATTGCAAACATATAGGAAAGTTTAGAGAGTTATAAAACATATGCCATGTATTTTCATTCATTACTTCCTTTAATCCTAACAACCACTCTATGAGATGGAAATGAAAATAAAATGGTTACATACCTTGCAAAACAGTGAACATTGGGGCTAGCGGTCCTCAAAACCCTAGTCTGCTTGACCTCAAAAGCCCATACAATTACCTCTGAAGATCATGTTGTTGCTTTCTTTCTTTCTTTCTTTCTTTTTTTTTAAAATATATTTTATTGATTTTTTACAGAGAGGAAGGGAGAGAGTTAGAGAGTTAGGAACATCGATGAGAGAGAAACATCGATCAGCTGCCTCCTGCACATCCCCCACTGGGGAAGTGCCTGCAACCCAGGTACATGCCCTTGACCAGAATCGAACCCGGGCCGCAGGCCGACGCTCTATCCAGTGAACCAAACCGGCTTTGGCTGTTGATGCTTTCTTAACCTCCAGTATGTCAAATCAAATCCCTCATCCTCACTTTCTTTGAGAGTGTCTTGAAGATGGAATATGGATAGTGTCTTCCTTTATTCCTTTGACTAGTACGTTTTTTTTTTCTGAAAGCCTCATGATTTTGAGTTCTCTCATATGTTGTGACAGCAGGTTTCTTTGTCAACCATCCTGTTCAGAATAAATAGCCTGTGCTGTGCCAGCATGATTTATTGCTGCCACTTCCTTTCTTTATGTTTTGAGTAATTTTATCATAAGAGGATATGAAGTGTTTTAGACATGTGCAAATGCCTGCGTGACGAAAGCAGTTCACCTGGCTGCTTGGCCAGCTGCCTGTGGACAGTGCTCCATCTTGGTAGCAGAGAAGAGAAGATAGAACAAATTAGGTTTCTCAAACAAGATCCATACACCCAGTGTCATCAGCATTTCTCCTCTAATGACACCCACAGCGATCTGCCAAAAGATCGTGGGATCTGAGAACATAGACATAGGGGTTATTTCTGTTCTTTGAGCAACTCTGAGTTACTGTGACGAGGGCAGAAAGAACTTGTATAGCTGAATAGGGTGTTGCTTATTGTAAATCCCTTTTTGGGGACTTTGAAAATGGATATTATATCTATATGTGAAAGATTCTTTAATCTTTAAACTGCCTGTAAGCATGGAGTACACTGGGTGGTTTCTCCTTTTGTAAATCAGATGGTATCTTAAAAATATTTTACATATTTAATTATGAGAAACTGCAATTACATTACAGAAAATTTGGAAAATACAGGAAGAATAAAATCACCCACAGTCTTGCCACTCTGATAGATATACTAATAATATTTTGATGCATTTTTTAATCTTTTGCATTACAAATAACCACTTAGAGCTAATCTCCAGATATCTTAACATCTCTTCTGGTTGAAGACTATATGATTTATAGTGATGATGCCAAGGAATTGCAAAATGTGCATGCTTATGTCCTTGAATATATTTATTTAATCAGATATACATGCCTTTCTAAGGTGGATTGATTTTGTTGCCTTGTCCATTGAACTGTTAATTTTTGGAAGCTACTATGGAAAACTAGTTTCATGATTTAGCTGGTTTTCTCAGTTGTAAAAAGTAGTGACCTTCTCCTTTGTGAGTAATTTTTATATTTTTACGAAATATCTCTTTAGGCCTTTAGAAATTAATAGTAGTTCAAAAATGCCTGATGCTATGGCAATTCATATTTTTTGGACTTCTTATATCCATACATTAAGTATGTCATTTGTTTTATTTTTTTAAATAAACAGTTTTTACAAAGTAGATAATAATAAATTATTAAAATATTTGATCACCCTTACACTATGTACAACATAGGGAAAAGTAGGCTTATAGTTGTAGGTGAAACACAGAGTTTATTCTTGTATTATTATTTATTAATTACTGTATTATTTTCTTATTTATTTATAAATTGAATTTCTTGGGGTGACATTGGTTCATCCAATTGTATAGGTTTCAGGTGTACAGTTATATAATCCTTCATTTGTGGATTGGTGTTTTCCTTCTCCCGCATTGAAGGTTAGAGGGGCATGTGATTGGGTAGTCACCTTACTTGGCTTGTTTGATTTTGGTCAAACCCAGTTGGTTAGACTCTGGTAAAATAGTCTCCCTTGACGACTCCAGGATTGTTAGAGTAGAGAGCCCTGGGAGTATTTCAAAGAGGTCACTTCCCCTTCCGCCTGCTGGATCCGGGAGGAGATTTTTATGTGCTCTTTTCTGTGAGCACCTGGTAGGGCTCTTGGAGGTAAAATTTCTGGAAGTGCTCAAGACTGGGATACCTTGGAGTTTTAAAAGTTCCATCTCGTTTACGAGTCTACGGCCATCGGGCAATTATAGTTAAAAGTGTTCCTACAGATACTGGCTCCAGGCGTGGGCCCGTATTCTTGGTCAGTTGTGATTCCCTGCTCCTCTGTTTCTCTAGTTTTCAGGGCAGCACTTTGCCCTGTGAACCTACATTCTTATGGCTTTAAGAATTACTGATTTTCAGTTTGTTCAGCTTTTTTTTTTCTTGTAAGGATAGGAGTAAAGATTTCCAAAGTCTTCATATATCAGACTGGAAACTGGACATCTCATACTTTTTTTGAAATGCAGAAATGTATAGAAGTTCATTGCTAATAATGTTAGTGTATTGTCAAAGAAATATATAATTACTTTTTCATAGTACCAGTTCTTAAGTTATTATCTCAATATGAATTTTAACTATGGTCAGATACTTTGAGGTTTGATTTTATCTAAAATGTTGGTAAAACGGAGAATAATTTTATACTTGTGATTGTATTTAAAGACAGGATAAATGTTTATAGTGCCATATTATGATACATATTTGGGAAGCTGATACACATGTTCACATGTCTTATAAATAGATATTTTATAAATCCCAGAAATAATTCCTGAATTAAAATTTTTACATCTATTAATTTTTTTCAAGTAAAGATTTGGAATGGGAAACTGATTTGTAGATTAATATCTATTTATGATAAAAACTTTTGTCATTAATTAAGAACAACATGATTCCTTTCAGAGTACCACTCAGGATTTTTTAAAAATACATATTTCTAATTTATACATTTATTTCAATATTTGTTTTTAACATAAATATTATTTGGTGAAGGGTAATCTTGAATTGTTCTCTAGTTTGATGAGCTGGTATGATAATCTTTCTTTGTCATTTGTTTTAAAATGTTAAGAAATTTTTTGTTTTATTCTCAAAGAAATACGATAACTTTTCTAGATAGAATCCAATGTCACTAGTTTGTTTGTTTGCTAAATATGATATTTAGTGTTAAATATAACCTTTTATACTAATTAATTATATAATTATATACATACTAAATGATATGGCTTCAGCTTTAGGCTAAACCTGTTACACTTTTTTAAAAAAAAAAATGTTTTATTGATTTTTTACAGAGAGGAAGGGAGAGAGATAGAGAGTTAGAAACATCGATGAGAGAGCCACATCGATCAGCTGCCTCCTGCACATCTCCCACTGGGGATGTGCCCACAACCCAGGTACATGCCCTTGACCGGAATCGAACCTGGGACCTTTCAGTCAGCAGGCCGATGCTCTATCCACTGAGCCAAACCGGTTTCGGCAACTTGTTACACTTTTTGAAGTATATGCAGATTACAGAGGATTTTTTTTTGTCAATATAGAGATATATAATTTACCAGTTATATTTATTTATTGGGATACTAAGGTGTATAAGGGTATACCTTTTCATTATTGCTTATAGCATTAAAAATAAGAACACACTGGAAAAGAAAATCAATATGATTGAAAGAGAATTTAATTAAGAGTATTAATATAACTTCCTAAAGAAAGTCCTAGCTATTGGTGTCCAGTTTTAGTTACCAATTCTTAGTCTTTCTTTGGGAAAGTGAAGGATAATCAACTCACAATTGAGTCCTAGCTTTGCCTCTCAGGACCAGTCAGTCCTAAGCGGAGTGTGGGAAGCCACATTTCAGAGGCATCACTGCACTTGTGTCTGATCTTTCTCTACCCTTTAAACATCCAGTGCTATTTCAGTGAAGCACTGAGTTGATTATAGTTGAAATGCGTTTTTAGTTTGTTCTAGTGATATGAATAATTTACTTTAGCTTATGAATATTTTAAATTTAATATATGTACTTATTTTAGTAGCTATGTTTAGGTAGATTGGATACATTCCCCTCTCCTCCAGTTCCTTTAACTGACCCTTTAAGCAGTAAATACTGTCATTTGTAAGGCTTTAAAAGTACATTTATAGAACCTTACGTTTTATTTAAAATTTTATGCCTTCAATTTACATTAATGAAGAAATTTTAAAAATAAAGAGGAAATCCATTTACCTTCAGTAAAGCTAATGTAACTGTGTTTAATGTGGTACCTTAAAATAATTATTTTAAAAGCATCAATATCAATAAAATATGCAGTAAACGTGAGGACTAAATCATGAAATCATTTAGAACAGCAGTGGAGTTTTAATATTAGTCCTCTATTAAGAACAAACGCTTCAACTTCTGTGTTATTTATTTATTTATTTTTGGTGCCAAATTAATTCAAATGGGTGATTCCAATGTTTGGCAAAGCACTAAGCTTTTCCATGTAACAAACCTCAGTTTTCATTTTTTTTTTTATACGACCACAAACCTGTAGATAGAAATGTCTGCCTAGTACAGTGCACTCAGTTGCGCAAACTTATCTTTTTAGGGCCAAAGAAGAGCACAAGCCCCAGCCGACACAGTAAGTAAATGTACTAAGAGTGCAGTGGGCTTGACTTCTGTACCTTTGCCATATCTGCTTCCGGCACCCTGGATGGTATTAGCTTACACTAATACTGGAGAGGCTGCAGCTGGCGTGTCCTCTGCTTCCCAACTCTCCGGCTGGTAAGACAGCTGCCTGCAGTTTCTTACTTCATCCACACACTGACTGGATGTAGTAGTTTTTCCGCTGCCTGCTTGTGGTCTGGGTCAGTGTTCAAACTTTAATTTCCCTACCTTCCGACTGCCTGGGTGCTAGCTGGAGCTCCCATGTCCATTGGCTGTAGCTTCTGTGCCTGTGTATTTTTAGTATGGTGGGTAAGAAAGCATTTGACCTACCTTGTTATGCCTTTGGTTATTCAGTCACACTATTTGCTTATTTAAACAGGTGGTTTCCCTTTAGTGGGATCACTGAACTGGTAAATAACGTGCTTCAGCCCCAGCAAAAACAACAAAATGAAAAGGAGCCCCAGACGTAAGTAAGCTGATCTGCATAGACTAAATATTGTCTCTGATAGTGTAACATACTAAAGAGTCTATATTAAAATACTGCCCTTGGAATATGATCCCATAGAAATGAAAATTGTTAGATTCTGAGTTTGGTACTTTGTCCTTTAAGTATCCCATAGAAATCTAAAAAGAATACAAGGATAATTTATAGGGAAGTAAAAACGAAGAGGTAAATCTGCCCCCAGCTTTAGTGTAATGTAAAATATGTTTATTCAACAAAATATCTTTCTCTAATCATGCAATATATTTCAAAGTATGTTTTTCCCCCCGAGAGGACATTAAGAGTTATTAATTCCCAAAGGCAATCTGTGGTCAAATAGTATTGGAAAGGTTCTTTTAGAAAAGATTAAGCAGTTTTCTTTATTGTGTAACGTCTTTGTTTATAAATGTGCTCCAAAGGCGTTAGAACATACGGTGTTGACTAACTTACTTGACTGCTGAGACCTCTTTTCATTGAACATTTCAAATTACGTTGTACCATAATTTGGGAAAGCAGCAGTTAATCTCACATTGACCTGAAACATTAAAAAAAGGTCCATCCATTCATTTTATTTATTCTTTGAGGAGTTGTTCACACTTAACGTCTTTTTAACTTTGTACAAGTCTTTATTTATGTTGTGAATTGGAAGTAACTCTGAGAATGTGAGAAAGACTACACATATTTAAATTCCAGTCTCCCCATGAAAACATCCATTGTACTCAGAAATGCTCTTACCACCCAGCCTCTGCACTTTTTAAAGTAGGAGTTATGTGTACCGAGAAGATGGTTGGTTGTAGGAATGGGCAGGTTGAAAAGGACATGAACTTGAGAAGAGAATGAGAATGTCTCCAGGAGCCCTAAGATGAAATAGTCAGAAAAACATTCACTTTTTGCATAGAAGGGCAAACTAGAAGATAAATGTCTTTTTGTCTAGTTATCGCCTCATCCATTTTATGTTACCTTATATGCATTTTATTTAAAATTATGTCACCTTTTCAGTTTCAATTGAAGTAAAACTATGTTGTGAATTGAAAATACGTTGTAAAACTAATAGTTGGCATGTAGTTCTAAAACCAGAACCGTTGCTGTATGTAAGCTAGTTGAAGCCCAGACCGGGTACCTAACAGAATGCCTGATGTAATAGGAACTCAAAGTAAATATTTCCTTACAACTGATTTACATGTTTTATCTTTTTATGATATAATAATAACAGAGACTTATTTGTAAAATATAGAATGCTTCTCTTTCAAGTGGCAACTCAGAGACCTAAGCTGCTTCCCATCTTGTTCATAAGCCAGCTGAAACACGTAACCCCCAGGGTTGCTGCATCAGAGGAAGGGAGAGAATGGAGTACTCACACTTACTAGTTGTATAAAGCAGGAAGTGACAGAAGCCACTTTTGCTCACAGATCATTGCCCAAAACTTGCCACGAGGCTCTTAAATAACTGCAAGGACATCTAAAAAGTCTTTTCATGTGCTCATGAAGAGTGGCGACTTTATGTAACGAGCACTAGTAACATCTACAGTGAGGCCTTGACTTACGAGTGTCCCGACTAACGAGTTCTTTGAGATACCAGCTGTCTCTCGGCCGATTTTTTGCATTGAGTTGATAGAATAATTTGATTTAACGAGCTCCTTCACGAGCTCGGCCTCGGAACGAATTAAACTGGTAAGTCACTGGCCCCACTGTATTACAGTTATTTTACATAACTTCTTTTTCTGAAGATTGAGAATGATATGGACAAAAATGTTTTACATTTGGTTCTCATTCATTGCAATGAGATGGAAATTTCAGGATGCCAAAAGATGAAGATTTGCCAAAAGAATGCTACTTATAGCAAGGGTAACTCCAATATCAGCTCCAACTCCTGGTCCTGACGTTTCTACTGAAACTGTTGTAATGACTTGGCGCATGTACCTGGGTTGCGGGCACATCCCCAGTAAGAGGGTGCAGGAGGCAGCTGATCGATGTCTCTTTCTCATCGATGTTTCTGACTCTCTATCTCTCTCCCTATCTCTCTGTAAAATATCAATAAAATATATTTAAAAAAATGTGATAACAATGAAAATCTACTTAGGGCACACTGAGAAACCATTAGTGATCATCAGATGTGTCAGAGGCCAGTAAAAAAAAGAGGAACCGTAAACAGTAATTTTAAAAGGAGGAGCAGAGCTATCAGAAAGCATTTTTCTGTTCTTAGGTGGAAGCTGTCTCCTTTGGTTTGTCCTCTGCTTGACACAAGAGTCATTGGTTAGCTGTTTCTCTCCAAAGAGCATTAGCTTTAGCGGATTCTTAGGACACTCCTATTTACACTCTCCCGTTGAAGTGGATTTCCAACAGTCTAGGCAAAATTGTTTGTGTCTTTTTAGTGGTGAAACATGAATTTGAGGGTCAACATTTGGAGGCTTTCACTGACGTGCTAATTGTTAACATGGCGTTGCTGTCTTTTTCATTAAGACTCTGGGCAGTTTTTTTCTCCCTTCTTTTCCAGAAGACTAAATATTTAGGTTTTTGGCTATAGTTTTGGAAAGACAGCTTGTCCCAGTTGATGATAAGATTGGGTGTTTCATGCATTTCTTTCTGTACTTAATCAGGTTAACTTGTAATAGAACTGAGTCTAGGATCAGAGGTAAAAATTTTAAATGCACGGGAAGCCTATTATTAATTCACTAGAGGCCTGGTGCATGACATTTGTGCATTGCGGGGAGGGAGGGGGGCGTCTCTCAGCTCGGCCTGCACCCTTTAGCAGTCCGGGAGCCCTCAGGGGATGTCTGACTGCGGCTTAGGCCCACTCCTAAGTTGCAGTCGGACATCCTTAGTGCTGTCGTGGAGGTGGGAGAGGCTCCCACTGCCCTCGCCAACATCAGCCCAGCTTGTGGCTGAGCAGGGGGTGGGGGAGGGGGCACTGACCACCTGGGGGGCAGCTCCTGCACTGAGCATCTGCCCCCTGATGGTCAGTGTGCATCATAGCAACTGATCATTCTGCATATTACCCTTTTATTATATAGGATAAGGGAGAGTTGATGGATCTCCAAAGGGTTGATTTTATTGTTTTGAAGGCTAATGGCATGGAAGCTGAAGGGTCTTTGAGACTATTGTTAATTTAATTTTACTTAAAAAGTATCTACTTTTTCTTTTTCTTAAGATTGAGAATGATATGGACAAAAATGTTTTATTATAAGCTATGTGTTTCTTATTGGTGCTTGCTGGTCCAATCAGTTGATAATGCAGTTGTGAAACAAGTTACAAAGCCCAAGTACTATATATTCTGGAATATATGTAGTAGCTCTTTACTTTTCTGAAATCATCTCTCTAATGAAATGACATTGCTTTCTTTTTAGTGTTTATAAAATCTATCTTATTATGAGAAACCCTCAATTTCTTTAGTTTGATTTACAAAGTACTGCTTGGAGAAGAAAAAAGACCTCAAACAATCATACCTACACCTATAAAGATTATAGTTGTCTGTCTTATCCAAGTTTTTGCTTTCTGGTCTGAAAATATTAAGTGGAAAATTCTAGAAATAAACAAGTCATAAATTTTAAATTGTGTACCATTTTGAGTAGTGTGATGAAATCTCAAGCTGTTCACTCTGTCCTGCCCAGGATGTGAATCATATCTTTGTCCAGTGTATCCACGCTGTGTATGTTACCCACCCATTTAATCACTTTAGTAACCATCGCAGTTATCAGAAGAACAGTGCCGGTGTTCAAGTAACCCTTATTTACTTAATAAAGTTCAAGAGTACTGATGCTGGCCCAGCAGGTGTGGCTCAGTGGTTGAGCATAGACCCATGAACCAAGAGGAACCTGGTTTGATTTCTGGTCAGGGCACATACTTGGGTTGCTGGCTGGATCCCCAGTAGGGGATGTGCAGGAGGCAGGTGATCCATGATGTTTTTCTCTCATCGATGTTTCTGTCTATCCCTCTCCCTTTCTCTCTAAAAATCAATTTAAAAAAGCATATAAAAAAAAAAGTGTATGTTGAGAATTTGGATAGCTAAAGAGAAGCCAAAAAATGCTTCTTTAAAATGTGGAAGTTCTAGATTTAGTAAGGAAAGAAAAAAAAATCATATGCTGAGGCTGCCAAGATCTACAGTAAGAACAAATCTGTAAAATTGTGAAGAAGGAAAAAGAAATTTGTGTTAGTTTTGCTGTTGCACTTCAAACTGAAAAAGTTATGGCTACAATATGTGATAAATGTTTGCTAGTTAAGATGGAAAACTCATCAAATTTGTGGGTGGAAGACACGAACGGAAAATATGTTCCCATGCCCAGCTGGCATGGCTCAGTGGTTGAGTGTCAACCTATGAACCAGGAGGTCATGGTCCAATTCTAGTCAGGGGACATGCCTGGGTGGCAGGCTTGATCCCCAGTAAGGGGGTGGGGGGTGCGGGTGGCAGCGTGCAGGAGGTAGCCCATCAATGATTCTCTTTCATCATTGATGTTTCTATCTCTCTCTACCTCTTCCTCTCCCTTTCTCTCTGAAATCAATAAAAACATATTAAAAAGAAGAAAAAGAAATTATGTTCCCATGTTGTGTCAGAAAGCATTGAGCCTATGGGAAGACTTTAGTGAGGGGTCCCCCGAATGAGTGACACCAAGTCATTTACTGTAAGTAAGGGGTGGGCACACAGATTTAGGAATAGGTTTTGACTAAAAAAATATAACAATTATTGGAGAAAAGAAAGAGAGAGAGAGAGAGAGGAGAGAGAGACCACATTCACATAACTTTTATTATGGTGTGTTATGATGCTTTTATTATTAGCTATTGTTTTTAACCTCTCACTGTGTCTGGTTTATAAATTAAACTTTATCATAGATATGTATCGGCAAAAACTTAGTATATGTAGGGTTTGGTATTACCTGTGGTTCTAGACCTCCATTGGGAATGTATAGCCTGTACTGTAGAAATTCT